ATGTTACTTGGACAGGCATTAAAATCTCATGACAGAACGAGTTACCTTATAATCTGATACATCAATTTGATACATCCCTTTATGAATTTCACAAGAGCCACAGTAGATTGAAGCAACAGGCCCCATAACAGAATATATTGAATTCAACCATCCCATGTAGCTCATCTGCTCTTTTATATACAATCAGAATCAATATTAGGGCAGGATAACAGGCAGATGAGTTTACAGACAAACGCACACATCATTGGAAATACTACAGCAACCCCGGGAACAAGTTGTTTAAAAGTACTGGGGTTTTAGACATGTTTCCCGATATATCAAATATCGTAGAGAGTGAAACATGAAGCGGCCTGGTGCAGCACATTCAGTTACTTAAAAACATCGTAAACGAGAGATTCAGGTGAGTTTTAGATAAGTCTTTCGCAAAACCAAATTTGTTTGCAACTAAGTGTATTTCGCTAACCAAGACAGTCATTCAATGTCATAATGTGTCAGAAAAACAACCGTCTACTGCCCTTTGCTAAAGCAGCTGCCAGTCGGCTTGCAAACGCAATTTGTGTAAACAACAGGAGCTTGTGACTAGGCTTGGGTTTACTCACCTTGGTAAGGTCAACGGTGAAGCATGTCTGCAGCCCGAGTACTTTTAGCTAACAAGTTCCGGGGTCTGATGACCTTTGTACGCTGTAAGGTTTCAACTGATGTGCGTGTCTGTCCATCAAACTACCTGTTCGTTGTCCTACCCTTTGATTCTGGGTGCCTGTAAACAGCTGACGCGAAACACGAAATGGTCGAACTCACTCTATTCCGCTTTGATGCTTGTTGTTTTAATGAGGTACCTTGTGGTGTATATTTTCATGTTCGTTTCGTACGTGAATGGTCGGCCTCCTAAATCACAGGTTTAGTTTGGTGATACCCTTCCGGGAAAAACATGGAGCGTCGATCCGCTCTGATTTTAGTTCTCACCAAAGAGTGACGTGGCTGGATTCGAGTTTTGCTCTTACTAGAGATCGTCGACAGCTCCTATTTTTGGTCGTACTGAGACATGAAACCTACACATCTGTCAAAGGTAACTCATTCGGCCCTGGCATTTTCGTTTTGTTACATCTGCCAAAGGCTTTACTATTGTTTACCGTATGAATGCGTGCTGAACCTTCGCCTGAGCTAGTAGGTAGTGTTGCGGATCATCCGGGGACAACAAAACTTCCATATCAGTGGAGGATGTCTGCCTTACTAAAAAGTAACGTTCAATGAAGCGTCCTTTCTTGCATTCGGTAGCTAGCAAGCGCAGCTGACTACGACCCATTTTGCGGAGTAGCAACTATCACCCAGCTTAAAGTTCACTACTTAAAACTGAAGATACAAATGAAAACACCGTTAAAAGTAGATCGCAGTCCTGTTTCACAACATACTGTTGAACTACAGCTACCAGTCAAGTAGACACTGTTCGAACACTAGCGTAGTTTTGCGAGACTCATTTGGAACCCCGCTGAATCTCTCGTTTATAATGTTTTAAGCAACTGAATGTCCTACACCAGTCCGCCTCATGTTTCACCTGTTACGATATTTGAGATATCGCCAAACATGTATAGACGTAGTGCACTACTCATAAGGACGAAGAACTTTCAGCAACCTTGTGAGTAGTGTATTACTGTTCGAACATATTATTAGAGCATTAGGTCATCTTGGATGACTGGAGAGATTTGCGCTTGTGGCAATCCAATCTTTTACTCTTGAATTACATCTTAAAAGTATAATGTTAGCATACAATAATAGCTTCATCGAAGCCCTGCTTGACCGCACAACTGCACGAGCTAATAGCTTCACTCTGAGATGTGTTACTAATTGAGTTCGTTTCTATACTTTGTGACGACCGAACGCCGGAGGCAGTAGGATGATATCAGTTACGGTTATCCTCATTTGGTGTGAGGGACCGACTGAAGTAGGTCACGCACTTTTGGGCAAAAGAGAGGATGAGAATTGACCAAGCTATAAACATCATGAACGGGAGATTCATGTGGGTTCTATGTGAGTCTTCCGTCAGAAACCAGGTTGGTGTGCATATGAGTAATAGGTTTGATATTGTAGATGATGCCCTTTTAAGGGAGAACCATGAGACTGGGCTTTCAAACAGCGAATAAAAGAGCGTCAGACTGATACTGGCAACTTTTCACACAGTAAATCTGCTTAAATCAGCAAGATTTACTGGGAAAATGCAATATGCCGCTGGGTAAAGTCTCCGTTCATTGCTAGTTTTGAGAAAGTGACATTTCTAACGAGTGCAACACTCTGAATTGCGGAAAAGCAAGAGATTTACAAGATAATTTGTTAATCCAGTAGACTAATTAGGTGCAAACAAACTGATGGTTGTTGCAGGGGTCATTAGTCAGTAGGACATCACTCTAACGAAAGAAAGTAAGGGCGGCAGGATATCCATCATTCACCTAACTGAAGGCACAGTTACATATATGCTCCCTTCGACCATGATAAGAGTATACATAGGATGGTTGCAAAACTGCTCAAACAAAGAGAATGGAAAACCGCTTTGACGTACAGGAATAAAATTTTCTGGCTAGTATCACATCAGTAACTCATTAGAATGGAGGCGTCAGCGGAAAGTGAGCGGGGTATCACAACCGAGGACCTCGGATGGATTCCAAATGTCACTGACGGGACTCTGTGAAATATCTTACTGGGTTGAGTGGTTACATTTTGAGATCGGCTTACAGTGAAGAAATCAGTTGGACTCTTTTTGTTGTTGTTTTAGTTGTATTATGCCAGTAGACTCGATAAGAAGCTTTGTCGTACTTCGGATGGTTATAGCACCATCTCCGCTTTTCGTCAATTCTACCGGAAAAACAGATACAAATGTTATAATCAGAGTGAACCGTGTTTTCACTAGCATACTGATGCCAAATTTGTAGTGTGTAGTAGTTGGTTGGCAATCGTACTTGTTTTTTTTGCTTCATTTCAATCACGAGAAAAACAAAGTGCACTGCGTTTCTTTGAAGCCAAGCTAAAACATGACGGCCATTGAGTAGGTCGTTGACCACATAGCTCACATCGTTTGGAGCTGTAGATAGCTTTACTGATGCCAAATTTGTAGTGTGTAGTAGTTGGTTGGCAATCGTACTTGTTTTTTTTGCTTCATTTCAATCACGAGAAAAACAAAGTGCACTGCGTTTCTTTGAAGCCAAGCTAAAACATGACGGCAATTGAGTAGGTGGTTGACCACATAGCTCACATCGTTTGGAGCTGTAGATAGCTTCGTAGTTGAGATGCAACGAACCCAATCTCTACATCTGGACTGCTCAGGCCTGGGCCTGGCAGTATTTCAGCCCTAATACCTCCTTCGGGCGGCGTGACAGCTATGCATTTAGTGGGTATTACAACTAAACGACTATTATTTGTTAGTTATGATTCAAATAGTCCTTTCCCTTGTGCTGTAATAAGAGGCCAGTTTTCCCGGTGGTTCTTACATAGACTTGTCCGTCACGCTCCGGAACTACCAAGTTTTGGAATCCAAGAAAGTCAAAATAGAACCACTGAGCTGAGTGATCATGCGTTTGTTCAAACTGCTGATACCCAAATGACTCTCAAACGAAGACTTAAATACTCAGCGATAGGTGGACCACATTATATCTTGAGTAGAAAATCTACACTAATTGTCTATCGTAATTCATCAAAGCAATATCTAGGTTACTGGAGAATCCTACTGACGGACTGCATGATTTGCAAATAAGCAAGCTTGCTCGGAATTTACAGCTAGTGATGCGTGATCGTAAGTTTCGAACAGTCGTATCTGATCGGTGGAACAGAAGGATTGAAGTCTGGCTAAGAACTATTTTTCACACCCAGGAAGACAGCAACCTTAATGGTTCCTCACGGCATGGTGCGTACTCCGAACGCACGTGTTTGTACGTTTTTGTCATGCAACATGCAAATTTAAGGATCGGGAATACTCGGGTCATGATGGTGCACTTTTATCATAGAGCCTGGCGAACAGCATTCACCGTCAGTGTAATGAAACTTGGTTCAGAGCGTTCTGCCGGAGATGAGAAGTCTACTGGAAAGGTTAGATGGAGAAGCTGCGGTCATGTGGTGATAGAAAGCTTAGGTTGTTCCCTGGGAAAGCAGCACCGTTCAACCTATTTTAGTTTACGACCCGAGTCCTTAGGATGTTTGGCCAGCCTTTTTGTTAAAAATCACAATCGACGCAGGCAGTGACGGTGTCTTCTCGTTTCCGGACGAAACGTTTGCAATCCAGCTGTCAATGTGGGCGAACAGACCAACAGCCAAGTGGCGTACCCTAGTCACCTACATTCTGCAGCATTACCAGCGCCAAAGCGCATTGTTTGGGCATTCGAAAATCAGTAGTCACTGAACACTAAACAGGTTAACGAAATACACTCATTTACAAACCAGTTTGTTTTTGCGGGAGACTCATTTGGAACCCAGCTGGACCTCTCGCTGACGTAAACACGGGCGGTGTAGTGAAAGACTCCTTTTCAGTACCATAAACATCTGCTTTAAAACGATGCGGTGGACGGAAGGACTTTCCGTTGAGTGAGAACGCCTATCCATGGGTAACACAGAAGTCAGGTGATTAGAGAAGTCACTTATAATTCAAATTACTAGAGCCATATTGAGAACAGACGAGAAAAGGGTAGTTCAACCATATTATCGGCCTGTTGTTGCTGAAACGCCGTGACTGGACCGATACACCCCTGAATGCAAAGCTCTGATCTTTGGCACACTCAGACTGACATCCAGAAGGCTGTGGTACCGTCTCCGTCATCGGTTCGCCTTGGTGACCCAATCTGGTAGTGTCCTGAGAGCTCTCCTTTGTTAACCTTACCAGTGGTTAGTGGGTAAGTTGATCAAACACCGTACATCGATACTGCCGGTTTTGTGTCCTGACAGATTCATGCGTTGTGCTTCATTGTATAGCTGTGATTTCCTGCAGCAGGTTGTGCTGATCTAACCCTTTCTGGATTTTGTAGGAACACGGCTCAGCGAGAATTTGATAGCTCGGTAGAACGTGAACAACCAGACGATGTGCCCGTGGACGGATCCGACTGTTTTACCAAACCGGACCCCATGCTGAGCGGTGAGTTTTATCGTCACATGTTTGACACGAAGGCTTATCTTCATGACCCGGTGTTATTCTGGCAGCTGAGGTAGAAGTTCTTGACCTGAGCTCAGTTTACGAAGGCCAATAAGCGGTGTTCCCCCCCCCCCCTAATTTGACTGAAATAGTTAGTCCTCTCATGTGACCTGGATGTCGTTTGTCATTCACTACTCTAATTATCACCTTTTTAACGCACCCCGCCGTCACCTCAGGTCCTTTGTATCTGTTTGAACGTGCGTGGTATCCACACATGCAAGGTCATTTGAGGTGTTGACAACATGACTGAGTTGCACCAGCCTATCATTTCACCAACGCCGTGCGACCGACAAGCACATTCTCACTGGCGAATACGGATGAGTAGGCACATTGACCGATTCCAGTACTCAAGTGGTCGGTCAGTCACTCCACGCTCATAAAAACTGTAGCAGTCTTCGTGGTCTAGTAAATCATGCTGGAAAGTGTGGTAGAGACGTTCGTAGGTCGTCATTTATTGAGGACCGTCCTCACAAACACAGTGATTTAGCTGCAGTAGAACCGACAGCGTGTGATCGGTCCTAAAATTTCCAGATTCTCAAATAATGCCGCACAATCACCATAAAGCACACAGAGAGTGGACATCTAGTCCACGTTTCTAAGTTCTTGTCCCCGTGGGACACAATCACAGTGCCTGTGGACCCCTGGGAGCTGTAATACGGATTTGGCTAGCGTTCTCTCCGTCGAAGCGGCCGAATGTGTTGCTCGCACACGGACTTTCACAGGTCTTTTTGCAAGCGGGAAACTGGTGTCTTCATTTTGTATGTCTAACTGTGGTTCGCTCTCTCATTCCTATGCGCTTATCGCTTGATAATGTGTCACTCTGTGCAGTTCACGAATGAATGTTGTCACTTCACAATGCGTCTTCTGGGTGGACATCTCAAGCTTCTTGCTTCTACAGACAGAGTAACACTCAGCGAAGACGAATATTCCAAACCCACATGTTCCAGCCAATTTAAATGAAAATCTAAAAAAGTTGGCCGGAAAACTGAAGCACAACCATCCCCCTACTAAAAAAAACGATATTCATATTCGTTCCTCCACCTTAGCTGACATCTCACTCGCTTCCGATAAGAATTGCCATGCTGTCATGTTTTTCTGGTTCTCCATCAGTTTAAAATAGCCATCACTCATTGTACTTTCCACTTGTCTTAGTGGTCACTCGCGGAAACAAAAGGAATTGTATTGTTATCGCAAATTGTCGGATGACTGTTTTTCTCAGTTTTGAGACCATTCATAGTCTACTGCGAAGTACCCAAATGCGGTGACCTAACAGTTGGTTCTTATTGAAAAAACCTCGTGAATTTAGGTTCTTATTCGTCCCTCGAGTCATAGGTCTTTTCAAGAAACCCTGTTTACATTTATAATCAGTTGCAGTGCCATGCGAATGCAAAGCAGCATCGCTGTATGCGTAATGCACTACTCATAAGGTTGCTGAAAGTTCGTCGTCAGCAACCTTATGAGTAGTGCATTGCGAATATACATGTATTGCGATATCTCGAATATCGTAGTGACTGAAAGATGCAGCACATTCAGTTGCTTGGTTCCAAGTGAGTCTCTCGCAAAACCAAATTTGTTTGCAAATGACTGTATCCAGCATTGCTGTACTTAATGGTCTGATCACTTTTTGAGAAAGTTGATATCGAAGAGCAACGCCAGTTGATTGGTTTTGACAGTTACATATAGATGTCTATGGTAGGCCCAAGTTTGTGCACGCTTTATGAAGTACACGGCGGATGTGTCTTGTCCGTGAATCACAACTGCGCCGGCCGCCAAACTTTAGCGAACCCAGCTCCTCTCGGACTTGCCAAAGTACAGTATTGGTCAGTAGCTCAGGTATTTTCAGTGCGGCCACTCCACGCTTTCACAGTCTGTTACTTTATGCCATCTCTTCACTTCCTAACAAACTCAATTAAATCTCTGTCTCCCAGGTTTTTTCCAACTCCGTTTGGTGCGGCACATTCGGAGCCTCGGTGTGTGCGCGTGACATAGGGTTGAAAGGAGCTGTCTGATTATCGCAACTGGTTTCATCATCTGAAAACAAAAAAAACTGTAATCTGATATTAGCTATATCCCGATAACAGTATTCTGAAGCAGCAATGAGAGTCACACTACTACTCATTATCGAGTCCTTGCAAACTGCATAAGATGGATGGGGGGGATTGGGCAATGAAATGACCCCATTTTCATCATAAAAGTACAAATCTATGCGAAAAGCCTGTACTTGAGCGCTTTTGATTTGAGGGAAGTGTTGGTGTGTGCGGAACAGCCGTTCCAACCCTAAACTAGTAGTATTGGCTCCAGCTAGTCGGTAGGTTACATGCCATATTTTGTCTCAAGAAAGGCGCCTAAAGCGAGAGTGAAGGGTTTTCGTCTAGAGGGTTTTCTCGTCCATCTCGTTCCAAAGAATTACATTTTTGATAGGTGGCCCTTAAGAGGGGTTTCTGCTACGGGGAGGAGCTTGTAGGGGGTGACTGCACAATTTTCAAATTGCACTCTAATGGGCGTGATATTTTCGAATTCTCGTAGAAACTTACTTAACCTTTGTGCTTCACATTCCCTCGCCTTCAACCTGGAGACTACGGAAAAGTAACACCGAACTTCCCGCATAATTACTGAGGAGGTCATACTGGACTAAAGTCGGTCAAATTGTACTGGAAAAGGCCAGTGCAATAATACTAGCTACAGTACTGAGCCCAGAGTAAACAGGTTTTTATGAATGGATTTTTGGACGCCATAAAAGAAGTCCACTAATCACCTCCTCACCATCCCCACAACCAGTGGTTATGGTCTCCAAGCTGATAATGAATTTAGGAATAACGTTTCGTCTGAACCTGTCGAATTCCATCGTGTGGACCAAAATAACTTTTAGACAGATTTTCGATTCGCAAAACGACTTTACCACCGCTTATGTGTAGCGCAGTTTTCCTGGTTCGCTATAGTGACGCATGCCTAAATCGCAACTGGTCGTCGATCGATTTGACGAGCTACCCGTTGCCATGATCGCACGTGACCATTCCTCGCTAACTGCCTACATCAGTAAACGGTTGTCAGGTGATGCAAATTACTAATAGGATTTTCCCTAACGTCATAGAAGTAACCTTATAGACATGATCGAAATATCGACTATAAAAGCGTTTAACAGCAAAACATCACCTTTTTTAGTATTAGCTGATCGCCATAGCAACAGTATTTTAACGCTCGTCACCAGCACATCAGTAAAGCGTCTTTTCGAGTTTCCACAGCTTCCGGTATCTGAAAGCATACACCATACATGTACTCATGATTTACACAAGTGATTTTCACGTAAACCTGAAAGCAAAGGTTGCCCATCTTGATTAAGTAGACACCGCCGATTCATACCTATACTTCCCAGGGGACTCAGTCTGAGAACCGAAAGTTCATTTCTTCCCGGTTGCAAAAGCCAGGCGAGAAACGATGACCCGTGTCAACTTACACCTATCACTTACAAACACTGAAGGAGCACGATGTCGAGGTTGACCGGAGCACTGTGTAGGTGCTTGGAGTGGAACCAGATGTTCCCGGTTGCCTAACACGAGGAACTGGATTTATTCGAGGTATTTCATCTTTAGCGGACGGCGGTAGATTAGTCGAATGGTGTATCGGTTCGCCTTGTAGTTACGATGATAGGCTACGGCCCACCACTTGACTTAGTCCCGGCTGTTTTTGGTTTTATGTTGCTAGCTTGAAGTCCCAAAGATCAAATCACGCCGCTATTTGGGACTTTGAATAGAGTGGACGCCATTTTCACCGACATCCCAACTGAATGGTTGGAAGTAACTTGAAGAATGTATCGCAGGTAGGACATCGATTGGAATGCCCGCTCAGAGACGGATTTTTCTAATCCTATTTGTGCGGTCTTCATCATCCTGTAATTGAGCCCAAAGGATGGAAACACCTCCCCCCAAGAGTTCGGGCAGTACCATAACAAAGTACAAGGATCGATAACGGGTTGCATATCCCAAAATCTGTCAGTAGGCGGATTTTCTGGATAATATTAGTCTCTTTCATTCCAGTTGAGCGTCTCGAATGTTCCGCGATTCATTTGTGTGCTTCTTAGAGCGCAAGAACCTTTGATGTAAATTGACCTGATTTCCTCTGTTCCAGTTTATATGACAGCGAGATTCTATTAGTAGCATTAACAAACATTTCTTCTGTTTCCTTATCATTTCGAAACACTAGTTCTAAGAGAATATTAATAATTCATTTTTTGCTACCCCGTTATGTCTTGTCGGCAGGCATGGAAAATAATTTTGGAAAAACGTCATCGAATGGGCAATTACCCTAAAAAAATACCTATAGGTTTTGTCCAATCTTAAAAGGGTATGCCACTGAGGGCGATTGGTGACTGGTGTTTAACAAGTGACCACAACTAGTGAGATATTTATCTGGAAGGACACATCTTACCCTGAGTAGGGCTGTATAGGATCTACGAACTTCAATTCATTATTCGGCTGATTGGTATTATTTTTCTAACACTGTTTTTACTCGTGCCATGGAAGACATACTTCTATCACTCGCCATTGGTCTGAGTCTAGCTGGGGGCTCAGGACAACTCAGTGGTTAAGGAGCGAACTTACTGACCGGAAGATCAAACTGAACCTCAGCATCGCAGCTGCTTTTACCTAGGCTTGGACAAGCTGGCACTTTCTCAGTCCTCGTGCTTCCTTCTGTTGATACGGCAGCGAGGCACCGGAAGGATGTCAGAGCGGGACATTTATTTATTATGATTAGGTCTAGCCGATCGTACGATTCGTGGTCGTATAAAGGTAGCGCTGCGTTTGATCATTGTTGTGGGTGTAATGCTGTTTCCAGTCGCTGTTGAGCACAGGATCGGTAAGAACTTGTTGGAACAATGACGAGACTGTGCGTCCAAGCTCACTATGAGCATGGTTTCTGTGCCACCGAATTTTTTTGCAAGTCCA